TAATAATTATTGAAGACAACTATGTTATTTCGTCAAAAATTTAAATACTAGACAAGTTCCTAAGGACTAAATAATAATAATAATCAAATTTTGAGATAGTAAATTATTATTTTCATATTTCAAAGACAGTTTTTTGTCATTTTCCCATTAAATAAACCAATTAATTTGGATCGTCTAGATGAAAATTGACTGGCTTAGATTTTGATATAATAATATTTTTATATTGTAAATAAGTTATTATTTTAATAGCTAGGTAAAAAATTTAAAAGAAAGATAATCTTAATAACTAAGGGAGATGGAGATTGGATCAGCTAGAGGGAGACTACAGTGGTTGCGAGTTCAAGTGGCGAGAAGCTTTGGGAAGATCAAAGACGAAGGAGAAGGCGATGAAAGATGAAGATGAAGGAGAAGATGACATGGAGGTGACTGTAGGGTGGAGATTGAGAAGGAGAGGACGCACTTGGAAGGGATGGTATATTTTAGTTTGAAAATTAAGTTTCAATCCTTGGCTTAAATTTGTAGAGAGAATTTTAATATAAGACCTAACAAATTCTAAAAATTCACTAGAGGACTAAGGGGCTAAATTGAAAATAAGTTTTGAAATGAAATGACCATAACGCCCATTGTCAATTATTTTTTTTAAAAGAATTAAAAAGTCTTATCACTAAGGCCAGAAGTCCGAACGCTCTAGGATTTTCACCAAAACTCGCGGGATGACTTATCGAATTTGCCAATGAGCTTGGAATGCTCTATGAAACGGTGAAAAGGAGCTTTGAGATGATCAGGAGGGCAATAACACGCAAGATAAACAGGGTGAGGTAGCGAGAGTCATGTTATGAGAGGTGAGACCAAATATCAAGAAAGCGGAGACGACAAGAACGTTCAATAGATTGCACGACTTAAGGTGAAACCATAGATCCATAACGTAAAGAGATTAATTAATAATTAAGTAGTGGCATCCTAACGTATTTAAGGTTAACACTTCGAAGGAAAGCAAGGAGCACCCGCCAGTTGTGATAGATTTGCACCCCAATGACAGGTGGTGATAGGCATGTCGGGCTAGAGGCCTTTAATGTCTCTTATAATATCCAAATTTTCTAATTTTATTTTTTATTTTTTGGATCATTAATTTTTATATGAAATGAGAAACATGTCAATATTTTAAAATCTTGAAATGATGAAATTTAATATTTCTTTATGATTTTTTAAAGAAAAATATTACAATTGCATCATTTAATTTTTGAAAAGTCAAAAAAAAAAAGAAATTTTGTAGTTTTGAGACTTCAAAATATGAAAATGTCTATTATTTAATATAAAAATCAATAATTTAGGAAAATAAAAAATAAAATTAAAAAGTTGAAGTATTATAAAAAGTATTTAAAAAAAAAATATTAAGTGCTCCTAGCCTGTGAGTGCGGGTACATGGCGGCGGAAGCCTGGCAGAAGTGAGCATGTAATTGATTAGAAGTGATGGCGCCAAAGATATGTTAACTATAAATGCTTCTTTAATCTGAAAATGAATGCCCTCAGCCATGACGGTATCAATAGCGTATTTTATATGCGAAGAAACTTGTTGGCATCTTGAGCACGGAATCACTCTCCCATCCTAAATGTAAGAGCTAATTAATTAAAGAGTATATTTTGTACTAATTAAATGTATATTCTTTTAATGTAGATGATTAAAAGTAGGGTTGGAGGCCTCTAATGTACCATTCTCTAATATCCTTTGTAATACTCCAAGTTTTCAATTTTGTTTTTTATTTTTTTTTTAACTCATTGGATTCTACTTAAAATAAGAGACATCTGGATATCTTGAAGTTTTAAAATGATAAAGATTTATATATTTTACAATTTTTTAAAGAAAAATATTAGAATTATACCCTTTTATTTTGGAAAAATCATAAAAAATACAAATCTTTATCATTTTGGGACTCCAAGATATTCAGATATCTTTTATTTTAAATAGAATCCAATGAGTCAAAGAAAAACAAAAAACAAAATTGAGAACTTAAGGCATTACAATGAATATTAAAGAACGGCACATTAGAGACCCCTAACCCTTAAAAGAATGAGTATTTTAGAAGAATTAATACGCGTGTTACAAAAAAAGAAAAACTGAATTTATCTTCTTAATCCGTGTAGTTAATACCTAGCCTTTATATTTAGATATGGAAGAGTCTAGCATTTTAAAAACAGGCAATGGACGTTAATAAAAGACTGAACATGTGCATTGAATGAATAGTAAACTGAAAAATTGAAAAAATATTAGTGGGGAAAGAAAAGTATGAAGAGAGAGAGAGAAGCTCAAGAAGGTTGACCAGAAATCACTAGATAAGCTCGTGAAGAAGCAAAACAAGGAAGTGCGAAGGCAGAGCCAGAGAGAACAGAAGCTTTTGGCGAGGAATACACACACACACACACACACACAGAAAGTGATTATCAGAGAGATGAGGATGGTTGATGGGCACGCAGTGTTCCAAGGAAACGTGCAGGAATTTAGTGGATGCGATTGGTTCGTCTTCTTCTTCTCCAACCAGAGGAAGAAGCAGAATACTGATCAGACTGCAATAACCTCACCATCAAGAACATGAAGTAACAGTATATGTTTATATGTATTGCTCATGATCCTGCATTCGTATATACGTTTGTATCAAGACGTCCTTCCTCTGTGTGTTTGTGTGTGTGATGTCCAATAATTGATCCCAGTCTCTGCCAATTGGTTTCATGTCCTTGATGCCACTTGGTTGTTTGTGCCTTTACCGTTTATGCCACTAAAGTTTTCTCAATTAAATTTCTTTTTTTTCTCGGTGTTTGGAGGGATAGATTTGAAATTAATTTTTTGATTTAAAATTTTTATATATTTAATATCCTTTATTTGTGTAAAGTAAAAAAAAATTAACGAAATACAGATGAGGTGATATTTAAAAATTGGGAGTATGATCACATTATTTTTCAATTGACAAGAATGAGGATAAGAGATAAGAGAAGAGACAAGAGTTACAAAGATATTGACAATGAAAAGGAACGAATAGGTTGAAATAATTAAATTTCAAATATTTAGGATATAGATAAAATTTGGTAATGCAAATTTAGATTGATGGATTTAATTGAATTTAAATTTTAGATGTAAAATTTACATATTTAAAATTCTTTATTTGCATAATGTAAAAAAAATTAGTAGGATAAGAGAAATGAGTTGAAATTCAAAACAATATAAGTGATGAATTAATCTTTCCATTTGTCATTCAGTGAACGGCAAGGACAAGAGATGCTAGGAGAAGTGAGAGTAACAAAAACACCAATAATAAAAAATCATGAAAAAAAAGGGTTGGGATAAATAAAATTTCAAATAATTAGAATCTAGAAAGATTTTAAAATTATAAAAAATTATAATGGAACATGAACTAAATACAAATTCTCATGCATGTTCAAACATGGATAAAATATGAATTTGAATCTGGATCAAGACCAAATCAATGAAATTTTTATGCATTTAAATGGAGAAATTAATTTAAAATGATCCATTTTATTGAACTTCGCACTACAAATAAAACCACATCGTCTCGAGCCAGCCCATTCCGTTGGAGGCAATTGATAAAGACAATGGTCCAAGGAGCTAGGCCGACCAGGCATTGCGGGCTGGAAGAGCAGCGACTTGTAATCCCTCCACTGAAGAGAGCCAGAGGTGTTCGCTGTTCTGTGAAACCAGCCTCACGCAGTCCCCTCTTGTCCAGGAGCCACGAGATCCAAGCTACCGCTCAAATCCCATGGCTCAACTCTCCACTTGGAGTGGGCAAGCCAGCACAAAGCAACTAACAGCCCAGCCTAGCCGAACGCTAGCCATGTTCCACTGTCTCGAAGCCCCCTCTCGGGTTACAAGCTGACGCTGCCCAGCTCGGCGAGCGACATTATAACGTCAGATTCTTATATACAATAACTTGGTTCAGAAACTAGACGGTGTGTAGCTCTTTGGATCTATCCTGAGCTTTCTCTACCGCAGTTTTGGGATATATAATGACCGTCACCGAATACACGATCTTTACTGTGTTATGATCATTAATGGAAACATGAATTAATCGGAAAATCAAAAATTCAGAGTGGAGACTTGCGATGATATAAAGAAAGAGGAATCTCTGGTTTTCCGTTTGCCTGAACTTACGCAATGCTCTTGCCTGTGGGATTTTCTAGCAAATAAAGATCATCACCTGATTCAAAAAGAATCCAGATTAAATGAATGCAGGAAAAAAAAAAGGATTTCTTCCTATTAATTAGCATATTACTGTTCCTGAATTATGAGGAAACAGCATGTATAGATTAAATAATTCACACTGCAATAGGTTTAGCTTGTTCATTAGAGGTGAGGCCGCCAAGATCATCCGTGACTCTCGTGGGAAATTTCTCCGTTTAAAAGCTGTCAAAGTCTATGTGCTCCCACACGAAATATTCAGGTCGTCCCTCAGCGTGGAAAATTTTGCCCCTTTCTTGTTTGACCCGCTCAATAACAGCTCTTTGTTGTTCTGTCTTCTCAATTTACAGAACTTTTTTTAAAAGCTAGTTAATCTTCCTCATATTTATATTACTATCCTCCGATTTTCGCTTCCACATTACTTTTTTGGTTTCATTCCACATGTCTTGAACACTAGAAACATGATCGTTCATGACATTTTCCCAACAATCTTATATTCATTTATAGTTTTATAGTTGAAACTGATATCGAAACTTCTTAGCCACACACTCATTAATAGTCATATCATTTTAGTAATCTCGTGATTAGACAAGAGAATCAGTTTATAAGAAATTTTCACTTATTGTTTTTTTAAGTTGTCAATAAATGTACACAGGACTTTGGAAATGTGCTATTCAAATAAATTGCCTAGTTATTCAAAACACTAGATATTTCTATTTTACTCGAAAGTCAAAACTCAATCTTCGGAATTTTCAATGGATTTGCGTCATTATAATAGAAGACTTGGAAAAATATACTTATACACCTAACCATGTTCAAACCTTCTCACACTTCCGCTTACCCAATATAAAGACACACTTACATCTTTCTGCTTCAAGAGCTCCAAAAGCATCGTCCTTTTTCCCTGAGTCGGATTCTCAGATTACTCAGGTAGGTTTTTGAATATCTATGCACTTCAAGATTCTGATTGTGAATTGATTATAAACTGATTAGCGATATTACTGGTTTTTCTGTTCTTGTTTTAACCTCTTTTAAATGTGCCTCGTCAGGGTGTGTTCATAAGAATATCCAGAAGGTTCTTGGATGAAGATGGTTCTGAGCAGCCGAACTGTCTGTGTTCTTATCGTTAATTTCTGGTTCCTACTTAGTTGTAGCGTCATGACCTACGGGACTGTGACTGATATCTTCTGCTTGAAAAGTATAAAAGATTCACTTGAAGACCCGTATGGTTATCTGAAGTCTTCCTGGGATTTCAACAACATCACAGAAGGATTTATCTGCAGATTCACTGGTGTCGAATGTTGGAACTCTCGTGAGAATAGAGTCATAAATCTGAAGCTGTCAAACATGGGGCTCAAGGGCCAGTTTCCACATGGCATTCAAAACTACTCCGGCTTATCAGGATTGGATCTGTCAATGAACAAACTTTCGGGGAAAATTCCTGCAGATATTGATGTTCTTCTTCCATATGGGGTAACTCTTGATATATCTTCCAATAACTTTTCCGGGAAAATCCCCAAGAGTGTTGCAAATTGCAGCTATCTCAATTCCCTTAGACTTGATCGGAATCGATTCAGTGGGCAAATTCCTGGAGAATTGAGCAAGCTCGGAAGGCTGAAGACATTTACTGTGACGAACAATCTTTTAATAGGTCCAGTACCGAAGCTTCCACAAGTGCCAGCTGAGAGCTATGCAAATAATTCTGGTCTCTGTGGCAGTCCCTTACCACCTTGCCAGCGAAATTGATGGCCTTGACGAATAGGTTTGAATTCTTATATTGCTCGTAGTAATGATAATCCTTTTTGCAAGTCTTGTAATAATTACCGTGTGCCTGATTGCCTTGGAGTTAGCACTATTATTTCCCTACCAACATTTTCAATCATTAATTAAATGATGATGATAATGATATGGCCTAGTTGGTTTTTTGCATCTCATGCTGTTTTCTCTTGTTTTCGGTTTTTTCAAGATGATTGATATTCTTTTACACTTTGAGTTTGATGAGCCCAAAAATATAATGTAAATTAATGATAGGTTGGTATTTTGCGTGGAGAAGTTACACTTGGTCAAAAGTGAAGATTATGTCATGTTCATTCTCTTCCATAAAGAAATATAATAATGTTCATCGTCATACTGACTATTCTCTATGTATTTTATACACATATCTATTTAATTTGACTGGATCAATACAGAATCACAAGGTCGACTTGGTTTGATGGGGATGTTGATTTTGTTAAATATATAAAGCACTAATCAATCTTTTAAAATTAATGATAAATGCAACTCTATTTGATTAATTTAGTGTACTCTTGGTGGATTTGGGCCCAGCCCATTTGGGAGTTTCTTGTTTTTGTTTTTCTTTTTTTGGGTATTGGTGCTTTGGGAGTTAGTCCCACACATTAGAGAAAAACATAGAATAAATAAATGATTGAAGTCTCCCTGTCCCTCTCAAGTTTTCTCTTTTTCTCAATTCTCAGTGATTTTATTGCATGCCTAAGATTGAGTTTCAAGCGTAATTCAGTCTCCCGCGTGGTTTCAAGTTTTACTGACAGAAAGCAAATTAAATTTTTTATATAAGCTTAAACTTGGTTTGGCCTATTTAAATATTTAATAAATAGACTAAACTAGATATAAATAAGAAGCCCCTAATACTACTTGGCCTACTTCAACCCGTAATCATGGATGCGTGAGTGTGTGTTGTGTGTATTATATATTTTGGTTCAGCTAATCATCCCATGATTCTGTTGTCCAAAAATAATCTACCCATGATTCTCATTCTAAAAGGTATACGCCAAGATTTCTTGGCGAAAAAGATAAATATCAATTAATTATATTGTTTTTCTTTTTCTTTTTGGATAAATTTATATTGTTTTTCTTCGTCAACGATATAATATGCCATGACGATCAGTAGTGTATTTATTTGTGAAGAAACTCGTTGGCATCTCCCGCATTATCAATTTTTTTTTTAAAAAAAAAACATGCAATGCATTAATAAGGTAATGAATATGTGCATTTTATTAAATGGTTATCCGAAAAAATGAAGAAAGTTTCGGGAAACAACAGTGAGAAAAGAGAGAAAATTAAGAAGAATTTAAGAAATGGAAAAGCAAAGTCGTCTACAAAATGTAAGATTCTTTTTTAAGAAAGAAAACAGTGGGAGAGAAATTTTAAAAAAATAAAAACAGAGAATAACGGTAAAGTCCCAATAGATGAAATTAATGGCAGTTAAGCCCCAATAAAATATTCTGAAATGAGTTACAAATATTAATTTAAACAGTTATAACCGGAATGTTATTTAGTTGCAAACTAGCCCCACAAATAAGGGTAGAGAAAACTAGGAGGAAAAATTTTAAAAAATAGTAAAAAGATTTACAATTTTTAGAAATTTTCTTTCATAGTTTTCTCTTAATGCAAACCAATCCTGAGAGTTACATGTAAAATTTAAATATCGTATTTGAAATTAAAAAATTCAATTTACAATTATTTGAGTTAATATTTTTAATTAGTTTTTCAAAAAAAAATTATTAAGGACCTAAATGTTACTAATTTAATATTCGGGACTTAATTGTCATTTTCTTTTAGCCAAGAAGTGTCATTTTTTTTTCCAAAAAAAAAGGCTGCACAAAGAAAGATATATATCTATATATCTATGTGGAATTTAAATTCTTTCATGCTAAGGTTGGTAAATTTCATGAAGATTTCCTTTTAAAATGAAAACTTCATAGAAATTCATAAATCTCAGCTTATATATAGGGAATAGCTCTCAAGAAAGTTACGTTGAACAGAAAAAAGACGCTATACATGGACATATAAACGATCGTCAAGAAGCTGCAGAAGAAAGTTTAAAGGAGAGGAGGGTTGGCAGCGAATGGGAAGTGATTTTGAAGAGACGATGAATCACCCATGTCATCTTCAGCATCCAATAATACTGAAAAGCGAAGGAGCTCCATTCCAATGCAGTGGCTGCGAGGAGCTAGGGTTTGGCCCAAGGTACCAGTGCCGCGAAACTGATTGTCCCTTCGTCCTTCACGACCACTGTGCCACGGCTCGCCCACCGACCGCCCAAGAATCCACCTGTTCATGGGGAACCGCCGGTTCGACTTCATCTGGGAACCGCCGGGCGGACCGAACAGCCGATATTGCGACTCTTGCGGGCAGGACGTCCGAGGGTTTCTGTATCATGACCAATATTCCAAACACAAGTTTGATTTGCATCCTTGTTGCATGAACCTAAAGAGAACCATGTCTGATCCTAATGGCACTGTGGAGCTGAATCTTAAAGACCAAGCGCCCTCTAAATGTGTGAAATGCAAGAGGAAGTATCTGAATAATGTTCAGAGCAAGGAGGCTTTCAGAGGGTGGTCCTATGTGTCGTCTTGTGGAAACTATTGCTACCATGTTTATTGTGTGAAGACTTTGATTCTGGAGAACAGGGAAAAGGGTTATTTCAATGTTGCTTCTTCTTCTTCTTCCTCCTCTTCTTCAAGCTTGGTCATCGGAAGTGAAACTGCATCAGCTACGAGCTCTTTGGCCATGGATAGAAGAAGAAGATCGTCTAAATTATCTGTCACTCGTGCGTTGATCAAAATGGTGAAAGTAGGATTCAGCGTCATAATATCTGTTTTATTCGGAAATCCACCTCCATTGTTTGTTGCTCTCGCTGAAAACTTGCTAGAATAATAGGCTTTGGACCTATCGGTTTGAGGTATACGTGATTGTGCTTTTACGTTGCTCGTTATACTTAAGTTATACAGATTGTATTATGAGTACTTTGTGCGTCGAACTTTTGAGAGTCAACAATTGATAAAAGTCTCTGCCAGTTGCCTACGTGGTCTCTTGGCACGCACTCTGGTTGCACTTTTTTGCATTGTTGTTAATAAAATTATTTTTGCATTTTGATTTGTGTATATCAAAATCATTCTAGATTAATTTGACTGCGAGAGGCTTTCAGAATTTTCATGGGCTTGAAATTGAACCTCTATAATATCTTCCGACAAGAGAATTTTCACGTTACTATATATGAAAAGTAAATAAAGTAAAATATTAAATATTACCCTAAAGTATCTCAACCGTGAACACCTAGGATTGGCTTTTTCCCCCCTAATCCTGAACGTTTTCCATGAGAACAGGAAAAGATATTCGAATTTAATGAGAAACCAATTTTACTGACTGAACGTAAGAGTTTATCTCAATAGTTCAATTACAACTCATAAGATCCTCACATATAATGAGCAAAAGGGAGAATGAAAATTAATTTAGTTGGAAAATGACAATTAGAGCTCCATAAGAACATTAATGACAAGACTCCAAATTATTGACATTTCAATAATGAATCAGGGTTCTTACTTATAATAAATTATTCTTAAAAATAAAAAGTACAATTTATCTAAAAGGTATTAAAAACATTAAACTAATCAAGGCAATGATTATAAGTTAATAGTCTAACTGTGATTGAATTGAAATCAATTTGATCATAATTAAAATAATATAATTTAATTCAAATATATAAAATATTTATATATGATCATGATAAGAGTAATATTAAACAACTAAAATATTAATTTACAAGTAAATAAAAAATTCATGAATAAATTACATATAATACAATAAAATAGTGATTGAGCTACTTAAGTAAAAAGTTGATAAGTTATTATTTTTTACTCTATCCTTTTAAAGTTAAAATAATATTTTATGCTTAACAAAATTATTTAAAAAATAAAAGTGGTTCAAAAAATAAAGAAAAAATTATTTTTAAAAAGTTTAGAGCATTTAGGCTAGCCCAAATAACTCAAAATTCGAAGGTGTTAGGGCTGAGTTTGACTATATGAGCTTTCTAGAAGAAATAAGATACTTTAAGTTCAATCTAAATAAACTTAGTTTGAATTGAGTGCGATTCAAATAAGTCTGATCTGATTGAATTACTAGCTCTAGATCAAAGGAGTTGATATAGTTGTTTAATTTCTATTGGTCTTTTTTTTTTTTTTTTTTCATAAGCACGAGGGATCTTTGGTACGGACTTTGCTCCTGATCCTTCGTTGTTTGGGCTTATCTTATTCGCAGAATATCAGTTTATGGCTTGTCCTGAACATAAAACCTAGAACAATCAATTTTGCCAATTATTTTTAATGATTAAAAAATGGATGGTAAAATCTGCGAGACCCTTTTTGGAGAGGGTTCTAAAATGAGTTCGAAACTGACTCACGTGAGATCTAAACAGGAAATTTGCTCTGCTATGCTTGTATACAATGAATATATCTCCTTACAGAATGAAAATTGTCATATAGATCTAGATAATTTGGAAAATCTACATCTATTTATAGTACACAAATACTCTTCTGATTCCATTTATAAATTTTTTTAATATATTTTACTAGAATCAAAGAAGATTTTAAAATTCATCAACTATGTCTAAAAACTTTATAAATTTTAATTTTGACCTTATTATATATATATATATATATATATTAATAACAAATTTTTTCTTACAAACATTTAATAGATGGAAAAAAGAAAAAATTGTCATAAAAGTTTAATGATGTGATGTATAAATATGATATGTGTGTGTGGGTGTGCATGCATATTTATATATATATTGCTAATAGTCTGGTAGCCTCATGATATACATGTAATCTTCTCTGTAAATAGGAGGTTGCTTGTTCAATCAGTTTACAGCTTCAAATTATTAGTATCTGTCTCTGTAAAAGAAAAGAACAATTCTTGTATAGATTGATAGGACGGTCAAAATTAATTTAAAATGATGCATTTTATTCATCTCCACACTGAAAAAAAATGATAAAACCATGTCTGGTCGTCTTGAAAATCAATATTTTATGGCTGAAATATATCATATGCAAAATAAATTCAAATTATAAGAGTGTGATAGAATGAAGGCAAAAGTTTAAAATATAATAATATATTCATATAACCAAAAATAAAACAAAGAGAGCGGGACGTCTTTTTTTTTTTATAAACAGATAAAAAAAATTATGTAGGAACCCAAAAAGATGTGTTGCTGACATTTTGCCTTTGATCTGGTTTTTTATTATATTTTGCTAAAGAAACAATATAACTTTAAATTTTTATACTTTATTTGCATTTTTACTATAGGCCCTTATATTTTTAACTTGAAATCAATCCCATGGTCCAACTCTCAACGAGGAGATGACAAGTTACCTGGGAGCAGCTTCCAGACCAACCTAACTTGAGTCATAGCCGTATTTCACTGTCTTTAAGCCCCATCTCGGATAAGAAGCAGAAGTTGCTCTGGACTCGACCAACGGCGTTGCCTATACAGAATAAGTTGGCTTGAAAACTAGATGGTGTGGGACTCTTTGGATCTTTCCTGAGCTTTCTGTACTGCAGTTTGATATATAATGACCCTCGCCAAATACATGATCTTACTGTGTCATCATGATGCATGCAAACATGAATTCGAGAAATCATGAATTCAGAGTGGAGGCTTGCGACGCTAAAGAAAGAGAAATCTCTGGTTTTCTGTCGTAGGAATAGAAGTAAAGTTAGAGTTTTGCTTTATCTTATGCGAGATGCTCTTTGGGCGGGGGATATTCTACTATTATTACTGACTAAAGATCATCACCACCTGATTCAATAAGAAATGACTAAAGGGGAAAAAGATATATGGATCGGATTGGCGTCCTATTAAATAGCATATTATTAATGTTGCTAAATTCTGATAAAACAGCATGTATAGATTAAGTACTTCGCCAGGCAATGTAATCCCGGAGTCATGCTTGTATTAGTCCTTCCTCTCTGTGCGCGTGTGAAGAACTTGTGATGGCCAATAATATTAAAAGATCTTAGTCTATGCCAATTGGCTTCCTGTTCTCTTGGTGGCACTAGCTTTTTTGTACCTTTTTATTATAAACAAAAGTTTAGGTGAATTGAGTCTCAATTATTTACCGTTAGGGTTAGGACATATTTTTAAGTTTAAAGAGCTTATAAAAATACTTATAAATTGTCTACTAATAAAATTCTCACATAATTGACTAGCTTCTGGCCTATATATATACATATATATTAGACTGACATTTTTTTAGCTCAGGCTTTTGTTCAACGTTGGATGACTGGTAAATGAATTAATTATAAAGTCACTTTTATTAATACAAATATCGTCAGGCTCTGTTTCCTTTAGGTGATGACATTTTCGTTCTTTGTTAGAGAATGACCATGATGGGATTAGATAATTTCTTAGATAATGACCTGGAGCATTTAATTGTAAGATAATTTCTAACAGATATACCATCGCTATGTGACTCTCCAATGAGGATCAGTCTTAAATTACACACAAAAACAACTCTCTCACTAAAATTTTCAATGAAAATATGGCCCGTAAAAATTTTTAAGAAATTAATTGTGTCAGGCTGAATTGTCTATTTGAAAAAAGAAAATCATCATTTTTTATTCTGTTTTATTCAATAACATAATCAAAGTAGTTATTTTTAAATGTATAATGATTATTGAAGACAAATATGTTATTTCGTCAAAAATTTAAATATTAAATGTTCGTCAATGTGAACAATAAATACCAGGCGTGTCAGAGACATTGAGTTTTAATTGATAAAAAATGAGTCCCGAACTTCCTTATCATAATTCACTCGAATGTAAAAAATACACAAAACTTTGGTATGACAAGTGTTTTGATTTTTATTAAAATGTGAAAAAGGTTACAAGTACTAGATTGAAAGTAAAAACTAACTAATAAAACTAAAGGCTAAAGGTACAGAATATGAGTCTTTGATATATTGAGTGTTGATTCACTTTTTTTTTGTGTCTTCGTCTTTTATTTATAGTATCAGAGTGGTGGTAGTCGTTTCCTGAAGACCTAAAATGTTTAGTTGAAGAAACTCACCACATAGTCTTTACAAGTGCTTTTCATTTTTTGTAATTAGCCCGTCTCACCGAGATACTTAGGCACAATGCCCATAGATTTTGGAATCACTCAGGATCATGTCTTTATGTGCCAACGGTCCAATGTTCATAACTAGCAGGATTTCGACATGTTTATTCTATAGTGACCTTCTATTGAGCTCGAGGCCAACCCTTTGTTTAGATTGGGCCTGACTTTTCAATTACTCAACCCAAATAACTTTGTGACCTATTCGAGCGATGTTTCATATTTTAGTCTAAACAATAAACAAATTCCTAAGGACTAAATAATAATAATAATAATAAACATATTGAGATAGTAAATTATTATTTTCATATTTCAAAGATAGTTTTTTTGTCATTTTCCCATTAAATAAACCAATTAATTTGAATCGTCTAGATGAAAATTGAATGGCTAGATTTGGATATAATAATATTTTTATACTTTTAATAAGCTATTATTTTAATAGCTAGGTAAAAAATTTAAAATAAAGATAATCTAATAACTAAGGGAGATGGAGATTGGACCACTGACAGGGAGACTACAGTGGATGCGAGTTCAAGCGGCGAGAAGCTTTGAGATCCAGTAACAGTGGTTGCAAGATCCAGTCAATAGTGCTTGTGAGATCCAATGTGGTTGCGAGATCAAAGACGAAGGAGAAGGCGATGAAGACGAAGAAGAAGAAGATATGGAGGTGACTGTAGGGTCGAGATTGAGAAGGAGAAAACACACTAGGAAGGGAGGGTATATTTTAGTATGAAAATTAAGTTTCAATCCTAGGCTTAAATTTTCA